TGCAAAGTTTTTTCAGGTACCCACTATTCCCTAAAAGTGTTATTGAATTTGTAGGGTCCTATTCCCACAACTAACTGTGAATTGGCCACAAAATATTCAAACCCTCATACGTATCTGCTGAGAATTATAGTCAGTGACATTCTCTGATACATCCTACAGATCCTCAGTTCCCTCTCTTACCTGGATCCCAAATTCCTTTCTAAATTATGATCATATCAGTTTTCTTACATTTATCATCTTTATACTGGCTCACTAGTTTTCTGGGACTCCCAGTCCTCACACTCCTTCAGATTTCTCAGATCCTCTCTTTTTTCTATTGTAATTGTCTGTACTTTTATATTCCATTGACAGGTTATAAACCTTTACTGAAGTCTCTTCTTCTGTTCACAAATTAGGGAAAATATCTTAAGTTGTTCCCCATGGGGAGCACAAAGCTGACCTCATTATAGAGAAGGTGGAGAAAATGAGTCTGCAGCAGTTTGGCTGCCTCTTTTCCAAACCCATCCATATGCAAATTGCTTCCTATCACAGTCATCCCACAGACTTCATGGGATTGTTCCACATTTACAGGACCAACTCACTGTGTTTGACAGTCAGAAAAAAACTGCTCCTCCTGTATTCACCACCCACCCACACCCACAGGACAGAAAAACTTTGGCACACTGGCACTGTGTGAGTAAGAGAAGAGAACCACGGTGACTGAAACACTGCCTTCCCCTTGAGAGAACAGGCACATCTCATTATTGCACTTCCCCACTGTGTGTACCTGCTATACATAATCATACAGCTTCAAACACAGATCTCTTGGCTTCCTGTTCATTTTCCACAATGTCTAACTTGGTGATAAATTTGCCTGCCAGCCAGGAGGGAACAGATTAATTAGCAAAAAATGTGGGGTTTCAGACTTCAAAGATGCTCTTGGGTTTAAATAAGTATTAATCTCCACATTGCTAAATTGAGTAGAGTTTTTTTCATTGGGAAATTTGAAATGGAGCAGTTCTGCTGCCAGCTGTACTATTTTAAGGCCCTCAAGAGTCAAAGTGTTTAAGCAGTCCCTAATCTGAAATCAAAGTTACAAAAAATATTTGCTGAAGTACTGTGTTTCAGGGTTAATCTTCTGAAATTCACAGACTTGTAGGTAAAATATATTTTCTACAATTCTGTGCTGTTTTCTTAGTTCTATTTGGATGCTTCTGGTAGCCGGCCCAGGTGGCAACAGGTCAACAGAAGCTGATAAATCAAAAATTGCAATCACTGCTCAAATGAGGAAGGCTTTAGCAGAAGTGTGAATTTGAGGATGAAGAATGGAGTTTTTTCTTCCTTTTGACTACAACAGCAGTGTGCATTATTAGTAATAAAACACCAGCCATGTGTTTTACTATGCTGCATTGCAATGTATAAAAATTGCAATGTCTGTCAAAAATGCTTAGGCCCAAAATTGAACAGAGGTTAAAAATACAACCCATCACTCCAGTGGTAGGAATTTCAAGCACCCCTGGGGTAAAATATTTGCAAGGCCTTATAGAAAAGATCTGTAAACTCATATCCCATCAGTATCTCTGCAACATCAGTCAGGAAACCTCAACTGGACCCTCCAGGTAGGGTAAAGGAATTGGTAAGTCTTGTGCAGAAGTAAATTATGTGTTTCTGGAAATAGTTGATATAAATAAGGCAGAGTAGAGCGAGAGTTCTAACAAAATCGATGATACTAAGAAACAGGTTTTGTTTTGTCCCTGAATTGTGTTCTGCAAATCAGCCCTGAGGGTCTCCTTTCTTCTAAAAGAGCCAACTGAGGCTAGATGTCTACTGAAATTATCCCAGAAAAGGATCACATTCTCAAAAGAGAGTGACAAATAATTATTCCAGCGGCAGAGAACTGCAAATCCCTCACCCCAGTTTGTCCTCTCTTCTCCATCAGAGAAACACAGTCTCTAGGAGTTGCTGAAAACTGGTCAACCAATCTCAAAGCTGTGGAGCAACCTGAGCCCAGGGGATGTCTGGCCTTTCACAGCACAAAACACCAAAAATATTTTGATCATTGTGCACCCTGTTTTAAGAAGGTTGAGGAAAAGGAGGAAACATCCTTCCTACAACGTGTCAGCCTCTCACAGAGGACCTAAGTAGACGAGAGAGCAAACTCTTGAGCCACCAAGGTGGAGCGTGACAAGGACTGTAAATCAGAGATTGTGGGTGCTCCAAAAGGGAAGCTGAGGTTTCTTGATTCAGAAGACTGCTACTAGACTTATCGAGACCCAAATTCTGTCTGGGAATAGACCTTTTATTTTACCACTCTCTTGGAAAGGGCACTGCTCCAAGGAGGTAGAGGTGGAGGTCAGTACTATTTTCCCCTTTCCACAAGTCATTGTCTGGCTGTAAATTCCCAGCATTGGGGGGTCTTAGTGTTCTTGATCCTCAAGTGGGATCTCCAATGAGGTGACAGAGCCCCAGAAGACCCACCTCTGTGATTAGTGTTCCCCTAGACAGATCCATACCCAAAGCATTGACTTCTGGAGCCACCAGCATGTCTCCATGTGCCTCTGTATCTATTTTTGGAGCCCAGAGCTGAATGTGGCCCTTTGTACCTTAGCTATCCTTTTGCTGACGAGATAAGAATATTTTCATTCTGCACCTTGTTTATTTAAATGTCAACCCTTTAAATCAGAAACATCCTTCTCTGTATGCATAAATCTGATAGAGTATCAAGGGGAATGGGAGAATGGGAGCTCTAAGCATAGTAAAAATGGCAGTAAAACTACACATACTGTTTACAAATGCATTCTTAATTGCTATTGTTAGAATACAATCTTCTATGAACTTTTTCTCTCTTGTTACAGACTAGTTATAACATAAAAATCTCCTGGCTGTTTAAATGATGTGGCTAGGAAGAAGATTTCTTTCACTAAGAATGGAGACAATTTAGAATATGGAGCAGAATGGGAAAACATGAATATTCAGAAACTCATGGAGTCAACTTTTTGCATGCAGATTAAATCATAAAAAAAATGCCACTGCCTGCAGTATCAACTCCTGGTCATAACTGCACTATTTATAATGGGATATTAAGCTTTAGTTATGTTACTGTCTTAGGCTACATAAACCACCAGGAAAAGAGAGAATAAATAAGGGTTTTGCAGATTACTTAATTGTAGCAAACAGAAAGCTGCACTAATCACAATTTTGCTTTGCAAGGAAATTCCATGGTTGAGAAGTGGTGGGATGGATTCAGGGGGGAAACAGGACTGGCATTAATCAGTGTGGCCCCAGTAGGCTATTAATCAGGGTGGGGCAAAGCCTTGGCAACTCGCAGACCTCCACTGAAATAGGTAGGTGTCAAAGGCTATAGCTCCACTGAAGTAAACTGCCTGTCACCACCTGGGGATTTGGGTCCTATTGGAACTGGGAAGGATGGATACAGGTCATGTTCTTCTTCAAAGGGGCTAAAGCCTGTCAGAATTTGTGCTGATTAGGGCAATCTGCTTCCTTGGAGAGGGGAAATGTAGGTGAGCTTGAGCGGGTGAGATGGATATATGACCTTACAGAACTGATCCAGAGGCTGACGTCCCAAGGTCAAGGGCAGCTCGGGCAGTAACACTTTAAGTGTACCTTCCAAAAGATAAGGAACTGTAAATTAGCATGCTTACTCCAAGTGTCTTGTAGTAATTCTTCCTAGCCCATAGTGACCTGTTGGAGAGATGAACAGGAACTATCACCTGTGAGCTGCTCAAAGATCTGACGCTCACAAGCTTCATCCATATAGGCACTGCCAAGGAAGGACAGTGGCTTGTCAGTGGGTCTTGTAGTCCCCCTGCATGAGCAGGGTGGGATCTGTGTGCTGCCTGAGCTAAGAATTTAATAAGTTGGCCAACAGCCATGATACCAGTTAAGGAAAACTCACTTGCTTCATTAAAGGAATTGAAAGCAACTGGTGGTATGTTTTCCATTGCTATGAATAGTCTTGTCAGTGTTTTAATGGCTTTCAGAAACAGTAGTTCTGTCTTACTCATGTTTCTCACTGCAGAAATTGGGAGTCTCATTACCCAATATACAGATATGGGCTATGTCTTACCCCAGGTAGTGCAGTACATGCAAACTACAGCAAAAGCTGGGTCAGTCTAGTAGTGAAACTACTTTCAGCTCCACCACATATGCCTGATGCAGGACACTGGAAAAGTCTCTTCATCTCCCATTCCTTCACTGTCCTTTCAAATACTTCTACTGTCTTCTGTCTTTGGGCTGTGAATGCATTGAATCCTTCTCTTCTTCCTTTCCCAGAGGAGCCTGTAAGGTTAGAGTTCCCCACAACCCCATTTGAGTGGAATGTGCTACCTCTCTCCTACCACCCTGACCTTCCAACTGTGGTCTTCATATTGATCATATACTGTATTCTGAAAGTTACTTACAGGAAAATAACTGAAGTCAGACTGAGACCATGCCTACCTAGAGCATAACACAGATATTGTTGCTCATGGCAAATACTTTTGTTTTAGAAAGAGATTCAAAAGTTGTGACTCCTGAGCCTGGCTGGACATCTTCTGCCTGGAATCCTTAACCTCTCTATCAGAACTGTGCTTTGGGTGAACAAAGAGAAAGATATTTTCATCCAATAATTTTCCCACATTAGTAACAGGATTACTAGAAATCCATTTTTTCTTTGTAATATCCTTCCACTTTCAAAGCTGAGGAGTCTTGCAGCAAATTAATATATTTGGCTGCAGGTTCTGCACAGGCATATAAACCCTAGATAAGCTAAAACTGTTTTTTAAAATTGATTTTTTTTCTCAGGCAATATTTTTATGTCCACCTTCTAATCTTTAATTGGATGCCAGAGTTAGCATATTGATAATTTAGCTCACTGTCCATTTAATTCTGTTTTGACTGCTGATAAGTAATTACACCATTTTACATAGGGAAAGACTGGCTGGGGAAGTTGGAGTAATTTGATGCAAAAACACATTGTACATTAAGACATATCCTGTTGATTGTTACAAGGACATACTTACTGTGGTCCAACCGACCTGCTGACCCAGGTCTGTAAAATACAGTGTAATGATGGAGGAAACAGCAAGACTTTGAATGTTAATTGAATCCTTCAAAAAGGGCCCATCTGCAATGACAAAAAAGGAAGAGGAGATGGCATGAACAACAGGTATCCTCTCAGAGATTCAGCACAATGCATAGACTGCCCTGATAATGGCCCAGGTGTCGGCCCAGCTTGTATTCTGATTTATTTTGGTGACGTGGTACTTATTCTCCAGGTTAACAACTTAGAGCACTTCTGTGAGAGTTATTCTCATCTCATTTTAACAAAAGCATCAGGCTGACATGACACTGGGCAGCAATGCGTGGCAATTGTATGATGCTATCTCTGTTAATCTAACCCATTAGAGACATGCCAAGCAATCACACAGACAACTCCGTAGAGCACTCTTTGTTCTGTCTTGCAAGACTAATGGCAAAGTCGATGTTATGCAGCATCTCCCTCACTGAAGTATTTTGCTGAAACATTCACATCCTCAGGCTATTTCACAATAGGTGGCACTTCATGATGAATGCAACTTCTTGGGCAAAGGCCCACTGTTCAAGATTTCTTTGTAAGCTCTGACCTAGGCAGACCAGGTGTATGTGAGCACTACATTATTTTTCCCAGCATTCTGAGTCATCTGCTTCCAGTCATGGAATCATAGAATCATAGAATCATAGAATCATTCAATCAGCCAGGTTGGAAGGGACCTTCGAGATCATCAAGTCCAACCCTTGATCCACTACCACTGTGGTTACTAGACCATGGCACTAAGTGCCACACCCAGTCTCTTTTTAAAAATCTCTAGGGACGGAGAATCCACTACTTCCCTGAGCAGCCCATTCCAATGTCTGACCACCCTCTCTGTAAAGAAATTTTTTCTAATATCTAACATAAGCCTCCCCTAGGTCCTAATGGACCTAGAGTGTACAGACAGAGAGATAAAATGGCAATATCTGGTTCTCTTTTGTTCTATGGGGGCAGGGAGCTGGATATTAGGAAACTCCAACAGCCACTGGCTTGGGATGTTGTCATGGCTGCAACACCTCTTTGCTCTTTTCTGCTTTATGCGTTGCGTCTCCCTTTCAATTCATTTGTTGACTGTTTACATCAGCAAGGATTCTAAATTCCATCAGCTGCTGAGCCCTCATTTTCTATGGCTTTGAAATTCAACATGTCCACAGACCAAATACCACACAGCCCGTGGCAGCCTTATCTCCCACTGCCATGTCCACCAAGAACTTATGTACCGGCACAAAAAAATAGGCTGCCTCCTGCAGGCAGCTGCATCTTCTGATGAGGCTGTAAGCAAGTATTAAAATAGATCATGCATTAAGTGAGAGAAGTGAGCAAATGCGTTTAAAACTGCCTTGTCTTCCTTATTTGATCATATACTGTATCCTGAAACATTATGAAAAACATTAGATTCCTTTATTAATGAGAAGACTAATAAGTTAATAATTGATATCTGTTAATGAAAATGTGCTAACAGTTCACCCAATAACATGTATAGAGAGAGCAATACTGTTAGAAGGAGAATCTGCCAGAGGATTAGTAATACATTAGGTGGCTGTATTCAACCATATGAATACTTACTGCGTTCTAGTTGCAGGCCAACACGGGAAGGGTACCACTGGGGACCTGTTCCAATCACAAAGCGTGGCTGTTAATTTCATGGTGAAGGATCTAATTTTCTCTCAGTTGGGTTTTTTTTCAGCTGATAGCTACAAATGTGAGATGGAGAAAAACCCCACCTTTCTTTCAGTCTTAGCTCTACAAGGAGAATACAAGAGAGCTGGAGGAACACTTAATATACACGTTAGAGCATAAGTCCCTTCTCCCTTCTTAAGTGTTGTAAGGGTCAATCTCAGTGCTGAATGCTCCATCAGCACATGAAAAATAGACCTGTATGTGCACCACTGGGAAGTATAAAGAGGACCCTGTTTATTATCATATTTGCCAAAACTCAGTACTAAATGTGTCAGCCTTGTCCCTCCTTCTAAAATGGTGCTTGTGCTACAGTCTGGTCCAAAGGGGGTGATGTTTCCCATTCAGGAATATAAAACCTGACTAGGGATATGCAGCTTGTATTCATTCTTAATCATGGATTAATCAGGGAAATAAAGATACAAAAAGTAGAGGCAAATGGGTAGCTAATACTGAGTTATACATAACTTCCATGATACCCTCAACTTAAGGATGTTACCTAAAAGTAGATTTTTAAATGCACTAAAGGTCACCCTCAAATGCACGATAGCCCTTGGCAGTGGTTCTTGGATGCCCTTTGATGATTTTGGACCAGTTTGGTCTAACTGGTACAGTTCAAATTGTTAACTTGGCCAGCTCTTTGTAGTGCCTGTAGTGCCCCTACAGCTGTGCTGATGAATGGACAAAATAAACACTCCTCCTTTGCACCACAAACACACGTAACTTCGCTTAACCCATTCACACTCTTCAGTTTGCTGTTGAAGGATTTTAGGGCTGACCTGGCACATTTCTGGTCTGATCTGAGGCAGTCTGGGGAGACCTTACACAGCCCATGGTGTTGACTGAGATTTGTGGGCAGCAAAGACTGTCAGAGGAAGGCAAGGGAACTGCTGCAGTATTACCACCCTCATCCATTTCTACCACATTTGCCTTCATTTCCTTTGACACACCTGAGGACAGTTGATAGCCTGAAGGAATTATAGAATCACAGAATATTCTTAGTTGGAGGGGATCCACAAGGATTATCAAGTCCAACTCTTAAGTGAATGGCCTGTACAGGTATCAAACCTGCAACCCTGGTGCTGTTAGACTTGCTTTGTCTTTTCATTTCAAAGTCTGAGTGAAATTGGTCAAATATAGCCATGGTTTTCTTTAGACCTATCTTACAATTCTTAGTGATCCTGTATTTAAGATACCAGTATTTTCATATCTTCAACAAATGGAAAAAAATTGTTCACAGTGACTGTGATCAAACGCGGGAACATTTGCCCTGAGCAGCTGTGGGATCTACTTCCCTGGCAGTAGTCAGGCCTCAGCTGGGGATGACCATGAGCAGTCTTACAGGACTAGAAAGTTGGCCTTGCTCTGAGATGGAACCTGGACCAGACGAGCTCTGGAGGTTGCTTCTACCATAACTTGTGTCAGGATAACCAGAATAGCTGGAGAGCTTGTTCACCCACCAGCTGCCAGCTGGAGGGGAAGAGGAGCTGTTCAAAGTGTGCACTGTGCAGTGACATCCAGTACACTCTCATTTCAAAAGCACTTGGTCTTTCATCAGCAAGAACAGGCATTAGATGAACCCATGAACCAGGGCTAATAGCAGGAGGTGAGACATCCGTCAAGTAAGTTGCAAATATTTTTTGAAGGTACCACAACAATCCATGGCTATTAAAGATAACAAAGGGAAGATAGAGAAGGAGCAGCTGTCTGACTTGTCAAGGAAGATATGATTTGCTCCAGGACAGCAGATATCAATAGTTATTTGGGAGCCTGAAATGCAATGTATTTGTGTTAAATTGGAATCTTCCCCCCTTCGTATTACAGTATGTTTCAATAAAAGTCAATTTACCTGATCCTGTGGCAATGTGCTTTTAGGTATGGCTCATAATCTTCACAAGGGCAAACAGAGGTTGTGCGTTTAAGCACGTCATCCCACATTTCCAGTCCTTTAGCCTCAGTACACCATTATGTTCAAACATACTCAAAGATTTAGATAGATAGAAGTGTGCCTTTGCCATTGCTTGTCTGCAGTGACCTTGTTATCACACCAAAGTGTCTCTCTGGTTTCCAGACCATGCTTGGCATGCTGTGTGTATTTTGCTGGAGTGACCTGGAGTTATCTGTTCCTTCCCATCTCTTACTGTGGGATGGGGGGACACTAGCTAATGTCAAGTGGAAATGCTAAACAGAGGGGGAGACAGAATCAAAACACATTTCTATGTTGGTTTGAGTCTGAACACAAAAGTTTCCCACTCTCGGTCTTTACTAGCAGCAGAATAGCAAGGCTGTTCCCAAGTCTTAGCTGCCGAGGGTCCTGCAAAAACCAGCGTTGCTTTTGGGGGAGAAGTGTGACCTCCACAAGGAGTCTGCTCTCCCAGCTTGATAAGACTCATTTCAGATAGGAAACCCCAAACATTCCTAGGCATCCTGCTCACCACTTGATGGTGGTCAGCCAAAGGGCCCCTGGCCTCACTTGTCACCATTTACTTGCCTTCCTCCTGTGACTATTTTCCACAGGGATCCTCCAGAGATCTCACTAGGACAGCTCTGTGTTGCTACTTGGCAATGTGAGAAGTCATTCCAATACAGCCTGACTCTGACAGACACATATTCATCTCATTCCTATAGGAGAAAAGCTCTCTTTAAATAGTGAAAAGAAGTCAAACAGAGTAACTAATTATCGCTTGTATTAATTCTTGCTACTGCCTGTCAGAACAAGGGGTTGATGGCTCTCTTGGATATCTAGAGCCAGTACTGTCTGACAGATTAGCTTCACCTGCCATCAGCAGGAGTTCGAAAGTGCATGTGGAGAGTGCCTGCTCCCAGACAGAGTAAACAAGCACTGGCTGAAGGCAGAGGCACAGCTGCAGCTGTGCACAGCCCTTGAAGGCCTCTCTGCATTCCCACACCTGGCAGAGCTCCCCTTGCTTCCAATTTAAAGTTGAAGAGTTTCTCTTTCACAGGGTTGTTTTGGGGTTTAATTCACATTTTTTTCTTATTATCATTTTCCATTGTTGCCTCCTACTGAGATTAATGACAATCCAAGACAACGGGTGACTGAAGTTTATCCTGTAACTCCTGTTGCATCTAAGGTCAAGTATGTATTGCTATTTACTTTCTGACGTTGGGATGGTGCATCAGAGCTCTACCACATGGTACTTAGTAGGTCACAGTCTCTGTAGATTCCTTGTGATTAGCAGAGCTGTTCAGCTCCCTTATACAGGGTTATGGGTTGGAATATATATTTCACACTTGGAACAAAATTGTAAAGATAACATTTCAGCTCACATTCCAGACTGGTTTTGACTTGGAAAAGTAGATATAGACTCTTCAGAAAATAAGAATGGCCATGATGGTTCAAACCACAGCTCTATTTACCCAATATTATATCTTAACTCTATCATATTTAAGGCATCATAATTTTTCAACAGAGAATGATATTTTCTTGTAAAATGACTCAATGTTTACTTTTAATAATCTCTTTTAATAAACGGATATGAGAAAAAATATTTAATGTTGGTTGGGTTGGTTGTTTTACCTGCCCATATTTAAAACAGAAATTAAAATATAAGCAAACTGACAGATACATAAAATCTGATAGCCACCTTTAATTTTCCCACACCCAACTATAAAATGACCTATTAATACTGGACATAAAAAAGAGATGTAGTGCTGTCAAACACCATACAAATACTAATTAAAATAAAAGCCTCAGTGCCATAGCCAGCTGCCAATACCACTATGCAAAAATGCACAGAAAACCAAGTTGTACTGGTCCTGCTGCCCATATGATTTGTTTTTTCACTGCATGTATACTAGAATCTCAGTAAATTAATCGACTGACAATCCCAGGAACCAAGGACAGTTAGAAAAGCCTATATGCAGTTTTTGAAAGTGTCCAAAGGTACTTTCTATCCATGTGGCTCAAATTGACCTTAATGTGTGCTCCACCACTTAAATATCACAAGATGTTTTGAAAATTTAACAACTATGAAATTCAAGTGCTGAGTACTTTCCACTAATTATGAAATTGAAGGAATCAGCCTAATTTTTATTGTTTTATGAAGAATCTTCTATAAAAAATTAGTGCACTATTAGTGCAGTAAATTACACAATAAAATGCCTATTTGTCACAAAATATGAAATTATGTGAACCTGTATGAGAACAAAGGTGTAACATGATGAAAACCTCTCTTGATGGGGAATTCAGTTTGTTCTTTAGAATGTGGACCTGCAAAAGCTTTTCACTGGGGAGCAAGGAGTCTAAGAAATGCAAAACAGAACTGACAGACACAATTTGGAGATAATTAGCAGATTGACTTTCCATGATCAGCTAATTTTATTACCAGTTAAATTGTTTGCTTCTCATTGTATTTCACTGCCCATGCATCTCTAATAACAAATAGCCTTAATAATTACAAGCAATACCTGCTGTGATATGAATAGGATGATATGAACAACAAAATTACTATAATCAATCATCAGCAGTATGTTGTTTAAATTTGCAGAAATAAGAGGAAATTCCAAGGAACCACTGCGGCAGCAATCTCCCTGATCTGATCACAAAATGTTACACATGAGCTGAGAAATGTAACAGCACTTCCTTATGTGAACTGAGCACGGCTGAAATGCATTCCACCACCTTAACCAGATGGCAATTTTGATATCTATGTAGCAATAAGAAGAGATTGCTGGAAAGATTCAAGTATGTGTGGGGATGGCAGGTTTGTGCATAAAATATAGAGGCAGACAGATTATCTGAAAACTTGCTGAGGTCTTTCCTTGACAAGCAAATGCTGAACAAATACAGCTGTTCCATGTCCCTGACCTTAAACAAACAGTGGTCATAGTGTTTTTTCTCTTGGTTTCAGCCAGCATGTCTGAGTGTTCTCAGGAACACTTCTGAGAAAACAGGGATAGAGATATCACCATGC